AGACGTTAACATATGGTACCTGTAACCGCAGTTGCTACCCTGCCTAGCGCTCGTTATAAAGGGGCTAAAGCAAGGACTGGCCGGCTCAAAGTCAGCACAATGTGTCTGTGTCTAGTCAGCTCAGAGTCGGTATACTGTGTCTGATTGGGGTATCCAAGTTAATATTCGGTATGGTTGCACTAAAACACTGGCGTCAGTCCGGACTAGTTCAAGCAGCCAGACATACACTTGCATGCATGCAAATCGCTTATAAGTGAAATTATCTAAACACGACGTAAACCATTATTCCACAGTGTAATTCTTTCTCGGATTACGCGTCTCTGTACATATACATGGTGTCTGACATTACAACCACCTAGTTTAGTATGTAGCTGGTGTAATGCTGAGTTACCTGACATGACGTCAAGATGGACACACCACTGATACACATTATACTGACTCCGAACCGACAAGTCCTTGTTGTATCTCCATAATCCCGAGCACCGGACAGGATAACAACAAATACCATCTTTAACGTCTTCAGGGATGGCGCTGCGGGCAGACGCTCTATCCACTAGGCCACCGAAGCAGTCACCACGGAGAGGCGGAGGACACTGTTTAGGAGTTATTTAACATGTAATAACTACAGATATTTGAACGAAACCTTGATTGAAGCAGCAAGGGTTATAATTAGTTATTATATGCATTGCAGAACATTGTGGTCCTTTGATTCGTTTCTGTCTTTCCATAATGAGACAGTGTGTGCGTGCAGTAGGAAAAGAGTGATTGAGCGAGTTGGGTTTAAAACCGCTTTTAACTGTATTACAGTTATATCACGGCGTGTCAGCTTAATGTGGGAGGAAAGCCCGAAGTGATGCAGGTTACCACTTGGGCGAAACAAACGAGCACGGTTATGGTGCTAACAAACCTAGAAACATAATCGGAATTCGAACCCACAATCATAGGTTTCTGGCGTCCCCAAGGGACGCAACTCTGTACAGCGAATCGCGGCGCCATAGACGACTGGGCCACCCGTGCCCCCCAGTGGGAAGCGAAATAAATACGCTTTCTATGAAGTCTTTATCCGAAACACCATATGAGGAAAGCATTACTCTATCAGCTTTAAGAACATTGCTATCAGCCAAGCTTCAGCCAACAAGCCATCATTAAATTTTCATTCAAATAATGTACCGACCAAAAGAGGCATGAGGTAAAAGCATATGTTTACAAGGTTGTCGAAAGTTAACCAGGTCTTATGTGGACATTGCATGTCTTTCACTTGAAAACCATCTCAATTATCTGTTTGTGGCCCAAGAACTCGTACAATACTTTTAGCCTACGGCACCACAAGTGATCATCCAGACCTCAAGGTATTTGAACGGTCCGCCTTACTCTCCAAATGTAGGGATAGAAGTGCTGTTTCGACTCCCGTGATCAATGCGTTAGAATGGACTCTTAGGTATATAGTCCTTTTAAGGAACTATCTGTTCCATGGGGCGGTCGGGTTGCGTTGTGGTTAAAGCGTTTGCTCGTCACGCCGAAGACCCGGTTTCGATTCCCGACAAGGGTACATGGTGTGAAGCCCATTTCTGGTGTCCCCCGCAGTGATATTGCTGGAATATTACTAAAAGCGGCGTTAAACGACACTCACTCACTCACAACTCACTATCTGATCCGTATTGAAACTGTATGAAAAGGCTCCACGTCTGTCAACAAGACTATTTTACATACGATGCCGATGAATATTTGCAACCCAGGAAATTTAATGTTGCACATTCAGAATGAAATAAACAGTTGAACATCACTTGCAGAATGCGTCATCGATCATTAGCTGCGACACTGGCAACCATGTGTGATGTGTAAGAGCGTTCACGTGTAAACGAAATCAAGTTGACAGACATGAGACACAGTTGGTGTACATCACGTGATGTAGTCCATTAGCAATTGACTCCCTCATATATTATTCACCAACATATTATTGACAACATATACGCTTTTAGGAGCACATATGTCAGCGCAGCCACACGCCATTAGGGCTGTTTCTGGATTTCACAGCACCATGTCATGCTCTCGGTCACCCGTCACTCATTGCGGTCCTCTCGTGGCCCTCGTTGTGAAGTTTGAAGTTCCTCGTCTCGGTCAGACTGTTCCATTAAACTATCAGAATAGTTACTGTTTTTTTGTGGATTATCTAGCAAGGAACACAAAGGAATTGAAGCAGGTGAGGCGAGGTGAGGTGAAATGGGTGTGTGCTGCTGTGTGTGTCTGCTTGCACCAGCCCGGACAAATGCCGGTGTTATAATGCTCGCCCAATAAGATGCCGCAGTTTAGCAGTGATACTTCTCACGAGCTTCTGGGTAAATAACTACTAGCTCTGGCTGATTATATGTTGTCGCTTTCCCAATGGTTTGCCCATACCAGACTCGATCACGACAGTCCGATGTGACAGATGGAATTTAGCAAACGAAGACGTATATTCTTTACACAAGGTGAGGTTACGTCTAACATATTCAATCCTAAAATGGTTTACAACTGTAACAACAATGGTGCTACCACTACTTCTACTGCTACTACTTGTGGCAAAGTACATTCTGATAATACCGCTGCCTCTCCAACTGCCACAGTGTTTGTTTGTTCAATAGTTGTTGTTTGCCGCAATCAGCAATAGTCCAGTCATATCACGGCGGCCTGCAATTACCGTCCAGACAAAGCAAAGACTGTCATTAGAAGCCACTTCTCACGATGCAATCAACCATGCAGACTTTTCCTAACCCGGATCCCACGGGAAATCATTGTAACTCCTACTAGCACCGCCATTGCTCATTTGGGAGTCCTAAGTATCCAAATTAATCACAACATGTTCCTAATGTCTCGAACCCCGGATAACTCGATTTTTTTAATAATAAAAATAATAATAATAATAATAATTACCCATGTGTCACACTCACTACTACGAGGGGGCACGGGTGGCCCAGGCATATAAGGCGACGCGATTCACTGTGCAGAGTTGCATCCCTTAGGCAAGCCAGAAATCTTTGATTGTGGGGTCGAATCCCGGTTCGCCCAGATTATGTTTCCAAATTTGTCAGCACTATACCCGTGATTTTGGGTTTCACCGAAGTGGTAAACGTCTGGGACCCGCATCACTTTGGGCTAATCTCCCACATTAAGCTGACACACCGCGATATAACTAGAATACTGTTAAAAGCGGCGTTGATGATGATGCTATACCTATTACTAACTCATGGGGATTCCGGGTACCAATACTGGTCTCCAGCAACCTATGCTAGTCGAAAGAGGCGAACGGCAGGTCAGTCTCGGTGACTTGGTTGATTGCATGTAATTGCAACCAAATTGTGTGGATCGATGCGCATGATGTCAATCACTGAATTGCCTTGTCCAGATTAGATCATTTACAGACAGCCGTCACAGGGCTCAGACATTGCTCAGTGCGGCGTTGAACAACAAACAAAACATGTACTTGTGCCAGCTCCATGAACACACCACTGCTTGAGTTCCTATTGTGATTCGGTTTAACAGTAATTGGTGTTAACATGTTAAACATAACACCATCAAACGCGTTCACACCTCCTCCTCCTCCTCCCCCGCCTCCTCCTCCTCGTGTAAAGAAATATTTCAAGACCGTATTGTGTTTCAAAATGGTCTCCAATTGCATACAACTTGTGTAAAATTCCACCTGCGAGAGGAATGGATAATTATGTGCTTGCGGGAATATTGAACTTCACGGTTAATAAGGGCGAAACTCATTTGATAAATGATACCCCCTATATTAAATTCTATAGGTCAATCCTCCATTGAACATTTCCAGCATGTTATAGCATTGACACGGGGAGCGTATTCCTTGAAATAATTTCAAACACGGTGCTAATATAACTTGAACGCTGCTAATCAGCCGTTCTCATCATGATCCAAGTTATTTCTCCGCCACGATGATGGTGCTGCTTTTGTTGCCGAGGAAAATCAGATTTGTGTTCACGACGTTTAATCATGTGCATGAAAGAAACGGTCATTATGTCAACGTTTGGAGCTTGTGGAATTACTTTCCCCTGGGACAATAATCGCTGTAATTATCCGATACTGTACCTCAATGACAATCAAAACGTCAAAGCCTAAGGGCTAATCGTGCTTATATCTCTGTCGCATGAACAAAACACAAAATCGTATTCATATCTACTGTCGTGTTGACGCCACGTCTTTGCGAAACGGGTGAATTCGTCCTTCTTTACCGCGAACACCCGGCGTTGGTAGAAATCAATATTCTGTCTTCAACATACGGCCTTGTATTAAGTGATAAGAAGATTGTATAACGAAGCAGGTTTTATGTTAAAGATGTGTTCTTTGCAGTCTGTGATAATATGAAGTACATCTAACAGAAAACAAGCTACGTAATCCTTGAACACGATGCAAAATACAACTGGTTAATGTATTAATGTTTCAAGTTGATAAATTTCTCGCATAGTGACGTACTGCTTATCATGACAAATAACATATACAGTACTTTATAAGGAAAGATTGCAGATTGGGTTTGCAAACATAGCCATGGTATCTGTATTCTGAACAGATAAATAAAATACTCCAAACTATGAATAAAATTAACGACAATAAATGAGGACTCGTGAAATTATTCGGTATGAATGTAAGAAACTTTGCTTTCATTAAACAGTGCTGAGATTAATTGAATAAAATATGTTATCACTGGCTGAATCTGATGGGTCTGTCCCGTGTTGGCCGTGTAACACCACTTGTTGCAACTCAATTCTACGATGTCAAAATCTCCTCTCACCTTCTTCTTGGGACAACTGGAATTTACATTCACCAAAGCAGAAGCATCTGGTGTGAACTATCAGCATCAACAGTTTCGTATTTATCAAGCAATACAACCGAAGACTGCAAAATATTGGAAATACATAAGACCCAATGGAAGTCTCTCATTCAATGCCTCTGAGTATGATACGACATTAGACAGTGCTCATAAAACATATAAGGTATTTGAGACTTACCCATCAAGGGCTGCGGATGCGACAACGCTTCTGATATCCATAGTGCAAGGTAAACTAGAATTAAGTCTCACAAGTATGACAAGTTCGAAGCTACGAATCTCACTTCTCGTTCTACCAGTACTAAATGTTCGCATCCGAGGCTTCAGGTAACGACCCGCCACGTGACAACTGCCATTCCTTATCGATTTTGCCCGAGCAATGTAAAGAGAGATCGTGTATCTTCGTATTTTCCATTCGGTCCTCTCCGGGCGCCGATGCTGAAACTGCTTCGTAATAATTAATATATCAGAGGTTTAGGTGTCTGTGGTTAAATCAGCCTTGGCAAGAGAAATGATGACAGGTTAATTATTGCTCTCTTGTGTTAAACGTGGAATATGATAACTGATAATATGTTTATTTTCTGGTTGTTCCAAGCTGAATTCGGCGATGGGGAAGCACTGGTGAGCTTTCACGTGAGCAGGGTTTTTGATTATGCGTGCTTCATACAGCATGGTCCCAGGCTACCAAGACAGCGTGTCAAGGGCAACCGTCAACTGTTCCCTTGTCTGTGTTCTAAGTTAGGGAATATCTTGGTTGATTAAGGGGTCATGGATAATCAATAACCATTGCGCATGGTTACCTGCCAGGATCCACTGGTTGCGGGTTCGAATCCTAGCTTATCCCATTACGACCCTGGAGCTGGCGGCACAATGGGCTTCTTGGCTTAATTTTAATCGACATGCATCACTTCAGACTGTCGCTATGATGTAACTGAAACTCTACGTTAATTCAGGATATTTTACAATTACTAAAGGCAAGTTGCCTGAATGTACTTGGGGATTTTAGTTTTATTGAATTAAATTAAATAAATCTATGTCGGTCCTTGCGTTAATACATAGGTTATTAGACTCTGATGGAAGCCAAAAACGTTTTCTCACAGCATATCATATTCAACATAGCAAAAGAAATAGAGGCCCCAAAAAGTTTTTTCATCATTTTACGGAACAAATTTTATAAAATTAAAAACCTTAACATCCTCCCCAACAGTATATTAATGGTTGGCCCCATATCTTGTAACAGTTTCTCCCGCAAGACATCTACTGTTAAGTATACCCAAAGGAAATGAAACATCATTGATTCAGTACGATTCCGCTCACAATGTAAATACCTTCAGTCTGAGATCGGTGAAAGGAGATGTCAGCAGTGAAGAAATAACTCTTGCACCTTTATCTCTCAATTGATCGTTCGAGGCGGTAAATGCTAAGGTATGAAACATTTAGTACTGCCAATCTGACCAACGAACGGGAAACATGACATAAAAAAAATAATCAATGAGTGTAAATGTCGTTAGAAAATCAACATGTGCTGTCCATCGCTAGACTCGAGCAGTCTCTATTTTATGACAACTAAAGTTAATACACGTCGTGTTTTAACACTACAAATCACACACTGTCACGAAACCCAGGTAGAATTAGAAATTGTAAGGCTGTTTCAAAGGGTTATATGCATGCAATGAACACTTCCACCTGGTTTTAACGCATTAGATGAAGAAGAGAAATGAATTAACCAGGCTTTTAAAATATTAGTTTAATGATTTATGTTTTCTACCCATGGCGATAAAACCTTACAATCTTAGTTTAGAGACCAAGCGCAGCTCATGGTATTGCACGGGAAGGTTAGGACAAATCTGGCGAAAAACCCTCCATTGTCTGCAGCCGACCAATTTATTGACTGCCGTCTCGTGGAGCACGTTGGTCAAGCGGCAATGCGATGTTTTATTAGGTTTGAGCATTCATAGGTCAGTTCTCTTCAACCGCTTTATCATGGGGTCATGCATCTGCTACATACAATAACATTTTGAGTTTGTATCCCCGCTATAATGAAGTGACGTTTGTATCCCCCCCCCCCCCCCCTCTTTAATAAAGTGACGTTTGTATCCCCCCATCCCCCCATAATAAAGTGACGTTTGAATCCCCGCTATAATGAAGTAACGTTGGTGTCTCCGCTATAATGCAGTGACGTTTGTGTCCCCGCTATAATGAAGTGACGTTTGTGTCTCCGCTATAATGAAGTGACGTTTGTGTCTCCGCTATAATGAAGTGACGTTTGTATCCCCCCTTTTAATAAAGTGATGTTTGTATCCCCCCCCCCCCCCTAATAAAGTGACGTTTGAATCCCCGCTATAATGAAGTGACGTTTGTGTCTCCGCTATAATGAAGTGACGTTTGTGTCCCCGCTATAATGAAGTGACGTTTGTGTCTCCGCTATAATGAAGTGACGTCTGTGTCTCCGCTATAATGAAGTGACGTTTGTATCCCCGCTATAATGAAGTGACGTTTGTGTCCCCCCTTTAATAAAGTTACGTTTGTATCCCCCCCCATAATAAAGTGACGTTTGAATCCCCGCTATAATGAAGTGACGTTTGTGTCTCCGCTATAATGAAGTGGCGTTTGAATCCCCGCTATAATGAAGTGACGTTTGTGTCTCCGCTATAATAAAGTGACGTTCGAATCTCCGCTATAATGAAGTGACGTTTGTGTCTCCGCTATAATGAAGTGACGTTTGTGTCCCCGCTAAAATGAAGTGACGTTTGTGTCCCCGCTATAATGAAGTGACGTTTGTGTCCCCGCTATAATGAAGTGACGTTTGAATCCCCGCTGTAATGGTTTTGGCGTGCTAATACATATAAATTCCATGCGCAGTTTCTTGTCTCCACATCATATTATTCCTTATTCACAACCGGTTTAGATTTGTCGGTATCTTCATGACACTGCACACAGTTTCTAATGGAGACATTTGTCATCTCGAAGTTTCGAATGTCACTACTTTCGGTCCTTCAATGGAAATGAAATTACCACTCCTGGTTATTGATACTGTTTCTCGACGCCAGCTTGAACACTGTTCAGTACATCAACAGCACGCTTTCCACTACGCCAACTGAGAGATATTGCTGACCTTTTGACGTTTAAGGGGCGGTCGGGTAGCCTAGTGGTTAAAGCGTTCGCTCGTCACGCCGAAGACATGGGTTCGATTCCCGACATGGGTACTATGTGTGAAGCCCATTTCTGGTGTCCCCCGCGTGATATTGCTGGAATATTGCTAAAAGCGGCGTAAAACCAAACTCACTCACTCACTCAATTTTGACGTTTAACATTTGGAAATAAGATTAATTACTTAGAATAGAATAAAAATGTAATCTCAATGCATCTGTTACAAGTAAACATACTAACAAACTAGAGTAGGGATGTGATTGACATTGACTGTGTGGATTCTTTAAGACATTCGATTTCAGCAGTTAAAAGTACGCTGAGGAAACTTCATGTGACAGTTTTGGTCCACAATATAGGTTCTCAGCACCTTATGAATGTCTCAGGAGCCGGATAAATGTATTGCCACGTGTACTGATGGCGAGTTGGTCATGCGTTCTGTCTGCTGTTTCTCTCTCAACTCGAGGAGAGTGAGTGAGTGAGTGAGTTGGGTTTAACGCCGCTTTTAACAGTATTACAGTTATATCGCGGCTTGTCAGCTTAATGTGGGAGGAAAGCCCGAAGTGATGCAGGTCTCAGACGTTTACCACTTCGGTGAAACCCACGAGCACGGGTATGGTGCTGACAAACCTAGAAACATAATCGGGGTGAACCGGGATTCGAACCCACAATCATAGGTTTCTGGCGTGCCCAAGGGACGCAACTCTGCACAGCGAATCGCGGCGCCTTAGACGACTGGGCCACCCGTGCCCCCAACTCGAGGAGAAGACTTCTAGGAGGCTAACTCCAGGAGAGTAGGCTAAGGCGATCAACTCGAGGAAACACAGCAAAGATTACAACCAGGGATAGACACCATTGGTCATAGCCAACTCGTTCGCAGCTCATTTCGGACTTTAATAGTGTGCAAAATTATGTACCATGGTTTCAGTCGGAGAAATCATTCGATTCTGTTGATTCCGGAAGATTCTTTCGGAATGAACTATTCTCATGATTTCTCCATTTCGGGAACACATCGAGAACAAACCGAGGATATCAATGCAGGGACAACGACTCCAGGAAATTAACGATGAAAAACAAGGAAATCAAGTCGAGCATAACAACTCTCGGGAAATCTTTGGAAACACACCCCGATGAGGAAATATAACCCGGAGAAAACAACACGGGGCGAAGACCCGGAGAAAATAATAGACGAAACACTTCGTGGAAATTAACGTAAATAAACACAAAGTCACCGCAAAGTGTCGTATAATGGACGAAGGATGAAGAATGTACGTCTTGGCTTCAGGGTGAATTCAAAAGAACTGAAAACAACACACGATATCAATTCGCCGAAATACTAGAATAACGTTCTGCATCGTCGAAATGTATCCCCCCCCCCCAAGGTGACATAGACCGCATCAGTCAGAGGTCCCTTGTCCCTGACGCGTTGTTTTACAGGGAGATACAACTACAGAGAACAATAAAACGACCACTCCTCTCTTTACGTTTACACCGGCCCGTGAGTAAAGACGCCCAAGACAGACGGTTAAAAATGTAGATCGTTGTTATATGGACATCTTGAACTGGTTCTAACACAGAATGTGTCAGTCGGGGATAGTCTTCACTGTTACTCTCAGCATGACTACACTCCGGAATGACGTCTTCAAACCCAGCAACAGACGAGATGGTGTACTCAGTTTCACGCGAAGATGGAAAACAGCATCATTTATTCTGTTATCGAGAACTTGGCGAAAATATATTAATGGTACACAGATAGTTACAGATTAAGATATTGTGACAAATCATTTCATTTTGGGAGAACATGACCCTGAAAATTTATCGATTCCAACTGTACAGAAGTCCAAGCATTGTTGTCTGCTAAAATAGAACCATCAGAATACAGCCATACACGAATACTTATCTCATCTTACATTAAAATACTAGATTCTGATTGATGAAGGAGCAGGCAATTATTTGCCATGTACCCAGTTCATGTAGCCCGCTGAGAAATCAATCGGAACACACCTTTTTGGTAACAAAAATAAGTATCGTTGAGCTGATATGAAACGATGTTTATACGAATGCTTTGAGTGCGGGAAGTAACTCGGTTCGTTTTCGTCGTCTTCTAGCTGTCAAAATGGCTGAATCAAAGTTTTGTACTGAAACTTTGGACATGTTTTCCGGATCTCTATGAATGCATGTCGGTGATATTAAT